GGCTGGTTTGCCCTGAAGGGTGTCCCGGATCAGGGTGGGGGGTCCCCACTGGGGTGCCTGGCCAGCCTGGATGAGGGGATGATGGCTGTTTGCAGCTGGTCACACAACCTTCAGGGTGGGGGTCACCACTGGGGTGCCTGGCCAGTCTGGGTGAGGGGCTGAGGGCTATTTTCAGGCTGGGACTGAAGCTCCCAACTGCTCCTTTTTTTCTTTTTTTTTTTTTATTCTGAGCCAGCTTTAGCTCTGAGGCTCCAGCTCTTAGGCCTCTGCTCCTGAAAGCAGGTATCTGGTTTGTTTAGGTTCTACAATCAAAACTCTGTATCACCTCCAGGTCTGAGATCCCGGCTAGCTGAAAGCTGGTTTCTGGGGTTTTGTTTAGCTTCTATTTTTGTAACTATGTTTCAAACTGCCAGCTCACGGCCTGAAGTGGCAGGCGGGGAAGGTTGGAGTCCTCCGTCACTGAAGCAAGCAAGCCTCATGTTAGTTTCAAGCTGCCTGGCTGCTGGCCACCATCTTGGCTGACATTTAATTTGCATATCGCCCTGATTAGCCAATGAGAAGGGTAGCGGTCGTACGCCAATTACCATGTTTCTCTTTTATTAGATAGGAGGGTTATTATTATTATTATTATTATTATTCTTTGTTTTCTGTCTATTTGTGTTTCTCCCACTAACTATGGGTCTTTGAGGGCAGAGCAGCCCACATTTTCGATGCACATGCTCTGAGCATGTTTAATAAATGAATGAAGAGGTCTTTTTGTATCACAGCCAGACAAAGCAGTCTTATCACCCCAGGCCAATTTGCAAGTGGCCTTTATCTTGCTCTAATTAACAGAAGCAGCCCTTGGGAGAGGCGGTCCTCACACCTCTGGATGATGTATGATGTGTGAACATGTGGTAATTTGGGATGCCTTTGGCCCCTTAGTCTCAGAGCAGGTCTTGGGGTGGATGCATTGGTAGGAGCAGTTGCATTGCAGTGAGCAGATGCTCACAGACTTATGTGAAGAAAATAGGAGATGTAGCAGCTTGTCACCGTGTACCCCAAATCCTTCTGAGGTCCGGACGCGGGGTCTCACAAGCATTTGAAGCCTGTAAATGGCTGTACTTACACACCCACAACTCTTTTTTTAAAAAAAATATATTTTATTGATTTTTACAGAGAGGAAGGGAGAGGGATAGAGAGTTAGAAACATTGATGAGTGAGAAACATCAATCAGCTGCCTCCTGCACACCCGCTACTGGGGATGTGCCCGCAACCCAGGTACATGCCCTTGACCGGAATCGAACCTGGAACCCTTCAGTCCACAGGCCGATGCTCTATCCACTGAGCCAAACCAGTTAGGGCACAACTCTTTTATTTGTAATGCCAAACTGGTTCCTTGAACAAGCCACGTGCAAAGCTGTGTGCATGATACAAATAACAGCATGAAGCGAATGACTAGAGACACAGTATCCTATGTTTCCAGATTACCATTAGCCCATGGATCTGGATTTTACTGAGACTTGCTAAAAATGAATTTTCAGAAAGAAGAGGAATCATATCGTGTTTCCTGTGGTTTTTTTTTTTTTTTTTTTTGTCTTTTCTCTGCTTTTCTATCATGAAGTCTTGGGAATTTGCTTTCACTGAGGCTTAGCAGAGTGTTTCCTGATACTTGATTATGGTGGAATATGGTATGAAATAAAATGATTTTAGTTATTGCACATTTAACATGTCTGCTTCCCTTTTTCTGTTTTTCAAATAGGTTAGATCAGATTCTAAAGTCAATTGTTCGGGGTAGATGTCTCATCCCCACACTACAGGCAGAGCAACAGAAGCACAAACAAGTGTATTAATTTCTCCGGTTCATGTAGTTAGAGGGACCAGAATCTTAACTTTGTGCTTTTCTTTCCAACACTGTTTTTCTCTTCTTCTTGCTCAGTTATTTCTAAAGACAAGGGACCATTAAAACCTTGGTTAAGATTATAATACTAATTGACTAATTGATAAATGTAAGAAAAATATGGCACAAATAAATTCCAACATAATAATGATAACACCATTAAAGGGCTTAATTTAAAAAAAAAAAAATCCTAACCCAAGGATATGTTTTCATTGATTTTTTTTTTTTTTTTGAGAGGAGAAGAGAGGGAGAGAAACATAGATGTGAGAAAGATATATCAATTAGTTGCCTCCCATGCATGTCCAGCTGGGATTCAACCTGAAACCTAGGTATGTGCCCTGACTGGGAATTGGATCCAAACCTTTTGGTGTAAGGGTGACATTCCAACCAACTGAGCCATACCAGCCAGGACGAAGGGCTTAATTTTAATAGCAAAAAAAATATTGTGGCTAAGTGCAAATCATACCCATACCTTCTGTGTCTGAGGAATGCTTTGTATGTGAATGGAAACCTCCAAGAATGATATATTATTCAAATATTCTTTTTTTAATAAAAATGCTAATGGAAATGTTAAAATGCACATAAATTAAAATGATCATAAATTAGGATTAATATCACATTAATGAATTATAATCCCACATTCATTAAGATAAAGTGGCATTTCAATATTTGCTCTTGTTAATAAATTTAATACAATAAATGAAAGGGATACATTTGGAGATTCAATAAATATTTGATGTAATCTTAGGCTTTAACTTTTTAAAATATTCAAAAGCAAAGTAGGAGATCTAGATGCATTTGAACTCTTTGTTGCTGCTTTATGTCTTTTTGAACAAATCTTTTCTTTTCATTTATTGAAGCGCTAAATACAATTTAAATTGGCAAAGAAAGCAACGGAGGTTGCTCTGAATAAAAGTGATCCCAAGAGAACACAATCTTTTGAGTTTCTAAGAGTTTCTTTGAAGAAGTTTTTTTTTTTTTTTTTTTTTTTTTTTTTAAGGAACAAGTATTTGAAATCTCATGGTGCGATAAGTGGAACTACATTGCTATTTAACTGCATTAAACTGAAAACATGCACTTGAGTGGTATTTTCCAACTATAATCCAATGCCCTCCTTTTTAAAAAAACAAAAAACAAAAACAAACTAAAACTATAAATTCATGTTTTATTTTATTTTATTTTTTTAAAAAAACAAACAAACAGGGGTCAACATAGTATTAAAAGAAGCACCATGTATCAGAACATGCCTGTCTCCCTCTTGAGAGTAAAGTGAACATTTTACAGCCAGGCATTCTGTACCTACTATCACTTTTCAGGCGGGGCAGGTGTTCAATGAGTGTGTGTTGCCATGACCTGCGATGGACCTGGATCCTTGCTGCAGAGTTGTTATTTTTTCAGCGTTCCCATTTTTAGAAAACGTGCTTCCCCGTTCTGGCCGCAGTGCTCTTCATAAAATGGGAATAATTTTCCTAGACCAGGAGAATTGTACGGAACAAAGTAAAAAACATCCTAGACAAACATAAGATTTAAAAAAAAAATATTTTTATTCATGTCAGAGAGGAAGTGAGAGGGAGAGAGAGAAAAAGAAATATCAATGATGAGAGAGAGCCATTGATCAGCTGCCTCCTGCACACCCCTCACTGGGGATTGAGCCCACAACCTGGGCACGTGCCCTGCCTGGGAATCTAACACCTGTTGGTACGTAGGTGGATGCTCAACCATTGAGCCATGCTGGCCGAGCACAAACATAAGACTTTAATATGTATCAGATTATTAGAATTACTTTTGTATTTGTAAATACCGCAGGCAAAACTGAGTTGGATTCTGGGTCTACTACACTTCATTCAAAAATATGAACCTCAGGGAGGTTATTGTGTGCCTTGTCAAACCTCCTTTTTCTCATATTTTATATGAAACTAGAGGCCCAGTGCATGAAATTCATGCATGGGTAAGGGTCCCTAGGCTTGGCTGGTGATCAGGGCCGATCTGTGGGGTGACTGGCAGGGCGATCAGGGGGCTCCCACTGGCACTCGCCTAGGCCAGCTTGGGGCCTGCAGGCTGGGGGCAGCTCCTGCATTGAGTGTCTGCCCCCTGGTTGTCAGTGCATGTCATAATGATCGGTCATTCTGCTGTTTGGTCAATTTGCATATTAGGCTTTTATCATATAGGATATTTTAATTCATTTAGTTTTTGGTAAAAATTAAGGGAATTATGTGAGAAGTGATTTGCATGGTTCTTGGCATACAAATAGTGAACCCAAAAGGTAGCTAGTGATAAAAACTTTAAATACATGTATTAATAAACTGAAAAGAATCTGTACATTTTTGTCATATTTTCCTTGATCTTTTTATCATTTTAAATGCATGTCAGTTTATACTAAACTGGTCAAAGTCTTTTTAAATTGAGCTTATTGGGGTGACACTGATTAACAAAATTATGCAGATTTAAGGTGCACAGTTCTGCACGTCCTCTGTACACTGTATTGTATGTTCACTACCCCAAGTCAAGTCTCCTTCTATCACCATTTATCCCCACCATACCCTCCTCTACCTCCCTCCAGCCCTCACTCCCCAGTCCCCCGCCCCACCCTGGCCCTGCTTGGTGATCACCACAGTGCTGCCCATGTTCATGCATGAGGTTTTCACTTTTGCTCAATCCCTCAACACACCCCCAGCTCCCCCTCCCCCCCCACCCCACCCCAGCCAACAGCTGTCAGCTTGCTCTCTATGTATGAGTCTGTCACTATTTTGCTTACCATTCCAACTTATCTGTATGAATTTCATTATGTTTTGTTTTGATTTATAATAATACATTGGTGAACTTGTATGCATATATGCATAACCCACGGATGCAGACTATAGTGCAGTGAAGGCCTGCGGGTGGCAGGGGCAGGGTAGAGGGGGTCAATGGGGAAAAAAGGGGGGACATGTGCAATACTTTCAACAATAAAGATAACATTTTAAAAAATAACACAGTCGCATGGACTCTTTGTGCACCTTCTGATTGCAGAGATTGATGAAGTTCCAATGAATGCAAAAAGGACCAACGTGATATTCAAGCAGGAGGGAGTTAAAAGAGAAAATAACGTTGCATCGCTAACCAATGTCACCTTTCATTTTAGCTGCACACAGACCTGGATCCTGGGAGCAAAAAAATCAAGTATATCCTGTCGGGCGATGGAGCTGGGACCATCTTTCAAATAAATGATATAACGGGAGATATCCACGCTATAAAGAGACTTGACCGGGAGGAAAAGGCTGAGTATACGCTCACAGCTCAGGCAGTGGACTTTGAGACCAACAAGCCCCTGGAGCCTCCTTCAGAATTTATTATTAAAGTTCAGGACATCAACGACAATGCACCGGAGTTTCTTAATGGACCCTATCATGCGACTGTGCCGGAGATGTCCATTTTGGGTATGTATGCAGAACTATTAAGAGTCACTTTGAATATAGCTCCCGGCACCGGGGATAGTGTGTGGCTGAATAAAAGGCATCTGTGACTGTCTTCTCTCTCATTTGCATTTTCAAATCCCCCCTTTTTTTTGGCCTCAGTGCCACAGCTCGATAGCTTTAGTCCCTTAGTAATAGGAACTGACGAAGCGGTTTTATTAAAATATCTCTCCTTCCATGACAGTCCTTCAATAGGCCGAATTTGTATTCTTCTCTTACACTTGTACTTGGAGTATTTGTTACTGAGGCGGATTTATCAAGATTTGTTCCAACATGCCAGACTAATCCTGTGGATATTTGCTTGATGGTTAATTATTTGTGCACAGTCACATGCAATTGCAGTGCATAGAGAAATAGGGAGCCGTCGAGGTCTGTAGGCAGCCAGATATTGAATGGAGCTGGTAGGCCCACCCCAGAGTGGATTAGGAATCATAGATACCGGAGACTTCTGTGCAGTGGGTGTCTTACCTTAACTTTTTCAAAAGAATTATATACATATATATACATATATATGTGTGTGTGTTATTAATATATATGTATATATTAGAGGCCCAGTGCATGAAATTTGTGCAAGGGGCTTGGCCCTCGTGGCCCCGCCCACTGGTCATTCTGGAAGATCATTCCACTGTCCAGTCTAATTAGCATGTTAGCTCTTTATTATATAGGATATATTTTTTTATTTCAGAGAGAAAGGGAAAGAGAGAGAGAGAGAGAGAGAGATAGAAACATCAATGATGAAAGATAATCACTGATTGGCTGTCTCCTGCATACCCCACACTGGGGATAGAGCATGCAACCTGGGCATGTGCCCTGGACAGAAATCGAACCCTGACCTCCTGGTTCATGGGTTGACGCACAACAACTGAGTCACGCCAGCCAGGCTGAACTTTGTTTTAGAAGTGCCACCATCATCAAAGATTCACTCCCAATTTTTCTGAGTCATTGAAGTACTCATTACATTTTTTCAGAGCAGTGTATATTTCAAAGCATGCTATTTTTTCTTTTTCCTTATTTTTGGAGGGATCTGCTTATCCCTCCCCAATCCCTGGCTTTGATCCTGGAAATATCCCTGTCCCAGACTTTGTAATATAGACCTCTTTCTTATCTGACAAAATTAATAGGCAGGATCTAAAAATGAGAGTGTGAAATACCAAAAATCTTTCTTTTTTTAAAAAAAATATGTATTTTTATTGATTTCAGAGAGGAAGGGAGAGAGAGAGAGATAGAAATATCAATGATGAGAGAGAATCATTGATTGGCTGCCTCGTGCACACTCCACACTGGGGATTAAGCCCACAACCTGGGCTTGTGCCCCGATCAAATGTACGACCTCTGGTTCATAGATTGACACTTAATCACTGAGACACACTGGCTGGGCCCACAAGTCATTCTGATGTATGGAATATAAACACTACTTAGATTTAAATTACATTTAAGACAACCTATAAGGATGCATACATCAAAATCAGAATACAACAAAATCGCATAAATTCGTAGTAGATGGACATGATGACACAAATTAAACACACACACACACACACACACACACACAAGTAGAGACATAAATTGAAGGCCAGAATGAGGTGAGCAGCCTGGCTTTCTCTGATATCTTCTGTCTTCTGTTAACATTGGCCGATGTGCCCATTGCAGCAGAAAATCAGAATGGATTGCAGGTCTTCACGTCTCCCCCAAGTATGACTCCTGCCAACACTCGACTTTGTCAGTTTTTTTGTGCAAAGAATTCTGCCTTTATTTATTTTTTCTCATCTTGCCAGAATCGCATCTCTCCTCTTTGGTTGGCTGAAATGACACTTTTTCTAGGGAAACTTGTATGCCTTTCCGGTAGGAAATTCTCTCTCTACCATTACTATTCCCACAAAAAGAAACCCACAAATAAGCAAAAATATCTCCATGTGCCTACTTCTTTTAAATCCTGACATGGAAACAGAATTTGAGGAACACTCTTTCTTTCTTATTTTCTTGTTTAGGGTAAAGAACTTATTTCGTTCACCTTCTCGTCCAGATAAGAGTGATACAGTTTTAAAGGGCTATGGTCACCTTCAATATACAAAGAAGCCTTTATTTAAATTGCTAACAAATGGTGAAGAGGGAAGTGGTTATTTTTGCCTCACTTAGGATTTCTACATCTTAATGGCCAAGCCTATATCTATTTATTGTAAATGTGTCAGAGGCTTCCATTTCTGTGTATATGAGTCATGTGCCTGATAAATATTTTGAGAAAGAAGTTCCCTCCTCCAACTTCGGCAGACTCCCAAGGTCAATTTCAGCTAAGAAAAGGATCGTAGAGATATTATTAGCTACATTATGCAACGTGTGTGTGCACCTGTAAATACACAGTACATAATGTTTTTCTATCTAAAAGGTTTTTCTTGGTGAGAGAGTGCAGACTAAGAAAAATTAACATTCATTAACACACACAGTTTTTTTGTTTTTTTAAAAATGCCTTCTCTATTACATCTTTTTCAAAAACTACATGAAGCGTGCTGCTACAGTTCAAAGTGTGGGTTTGAAGTTAGATAGAAAGAGTTCTGAATCCTGGTACCATCCCTTATTGTCTGGTTGACCTTGAAGTTCAGGGAGGTTCCATGATCATTCATTTTCCTTAGCTATCATGCAAACATAGGCATTTCCATCTTACTTTCGTTGTGTGAGAATTGTGTGATCGCATACAAGGTTAAGGTGTGCCTTAAAGTAAACAGGCACCCGATAATTGATTGTGGTGGTGGTTTTCAAAAATTATTTTTATTGTCCAGCTGGTGTGGCTCAGTGGTTGAGTGTCGACGTTTGAACCAGGAGGTCACAGTTCAATTAAAGGTCAGGGCACAGGCCTGGGTTGCAGGCTCGATCCCCCCAGTGTGGGTTGTGCAGGAGGCAACCAATCAATGATTCTCTCTCATCGTAGATGTTTCTATCTCTCTCCCCCTCTCCCTTCCTCTCTGACATCAATAAAAATATATGAAAAAGCTTATTTTTATCAATCTATTTCCCACCATACGTTTGGACCTTTCCCCATGTATCGATCTTATGTATCGCGTGTCTGATTACTGTTTGACTCCAGCCTCTCTGGGTACAGGAGGCAGAGGCAGCCGCACTATTTTATTGTCAGGTGTGAATTATTCCCTTCATTTCTCACGAAGGTGAATATCAGGATGAAGGTCACTACTATCTCCTCTCTCTCCCTATTACCACTCTTCTCAGTCTGTCTCTCCCCTCCCCTTCTCCATTCTTTCATTTTTCTTCCTTTGCTACCACAGAAAGGCCAGCAGCCGCACCTGTTCGCCCTGAGGAATGCCAGGGAGGACTGGGGGGTGGGGAGGGGCTGGGGGGGGGGATCTCGTTGTGCAGAAAGTGAAAAATAAAATTCTAATTGAGAAATTGGCCAAGATTATATTGAAATGAATCTGATGTTCAGGGACCGTCTGCCAGTTGACAAGCTGTCAAGACAAAACGCACATATATATTTGCCCAAATGGCAGCCGCATTATTTTAGAAATATCTTATTTGGGAGCTGGAGATACGGCTCTTTTCTATCCGCCTGTGAATCACAGAACTTGATGAGAATTCGCTTTTATAGCAAATACCGCATAAAGAGCGACCTGCAAGCGTGTCTGGTTTTTACTGTGGAAACCAAACTAGCGTTGTTGAAGTTGGTTTTTCTATGCAAATGTCCCTGTGTTTGTGGATTTCCAGATACTTTACGTAGATATTTTTCATGCTGTTGCATAGTGGGGCGAGGGGTGTTTAATCCCGATTTTATGTCGACACCTGGATTGGAGTGAAATCAGCTTTTTTAACATAGAATTCCAGGCTGTTTGGCTGCGCATTTGCCTTCTGCCTGCATAAGGGGCAGAAGCCAGGTAATCTTACTTTCTCTCTGTCGTGCGCACAATAATCTCTACCTACAAACCTGCGTTTGGAAAAATTCAGCGATTATTTTGAAAGCATTTGGCACAGCGTAGAGTTGGTCCCCAACAGATACTAGTTTCTTTACAGCTGTCCACTTGTGAGTTCTATCAGCATGATTTTAAAAATCGCCTATATGACATGAATGCTCAACAGCCTTAAACTTTATGTTTCACAGATGTGCATGTTGGAATGAACTCTGTTTTATTCAAAAGAGCGTATTAGTGAAGGTCAAAGTCAAGGGATGAGAAGGCCAAGTACAGTAGTCCCTCCTTATTGGCAGGGGATAGATACATTTTAAGACTCCCACTGGATGCCGAAAATAGTCCCTGTATATACTATTTTCCCTATATATATGCATCTAGGATAAAGTTTAATTTATAAATTTGGCACAAAAAGAGATTAACCTCAATAACTTAACAATAAAATGGAATAATTATAACAAAATACTTTAATAAAAGATATGTAAATATGGACTCTCTCTCTCAAAATAGCTGGAATGTTCTCTTTAATATTATCAGACCGCAGTTGACTGCAGGTAACTGGAACCAGCTACCTTGCCCAGCCACACCTCGTAGCTTTTGGAATGAATAGTCCAGGCGGCAGGCAGATAGTCAGGAACAGAGGCAGGAAACTACATAATGCTCTCTGCTCTTCTTGTCCTATCTATCGAGTCATTTCTTAATATGTAACAGACCTATGGCAACAGCTTCCAATCAGTACTCAAAATAGGTTTATTGGGGAAAAAAGTCAAATTTAATTGATAAACACTGAATTAAAGAAAGAAAAGTACTTTTTATACCGGTCCTTGAAGTATATATGTATCCTAATTTAGTAATAAATTAGGTTCCTGCACCCAGTTGTGGTTTGTGGGTGTGTGTACGTGGGAGGAGGTACTTCCCACACACCACCAGGCAATTCCTGGACACCATCAGGGTATCCTACAATTCAGCTCAACTCTGACACTACCTTCTGGGAAGTAGCATCACTTGCCACAGGTTGAGGCGATCCCACCCGATTGTGTGCCCACCCACCCCCAC